TACGAAAAATAGCAATCATCCCAGACCTAAGGGAATCGGGGGCTTCTTCCTGTAGTACAGTGACCTTTTGCGTTCCACCTACGGGAAAAAATCCTTTCACTAGAGCCTATTCACTTTGGGGGAAAAACAACCATATTACCTTGTCATTCCCATAAATTTCCAGGCGCAAAAAAGAAAATAAAGTCTTTTGGCCTTAGTGGATTCCGTTACTGAATGCACCCCACATTAGGCTTCCAATTCGTAGAAAATTTTTGAATAAGTATGTACCTTTCGAAAGATTTGTGGGGGTTGTCCAATAAACAACCAGCACTTTCATACTTTCGGACGAGCCTGGTGCCAAATACCCGACACTGGAAGGGAAGGGAGAAATTCCGGTTGGCCTGGGCGGGTATCGATCCGTGATCCGATTACCTGACCAGAAGGGTGATATGTAGTCTGCGCCACTCGCCACTATACCACCCTCGTTCATTGTTTAGATGTACCCGCATGGAAACAGTCCTGGGTAGTCGCGCTCCTTCAACGATTATCTCAGGACATAGAGCTTGACCAAGTTGAGCGGATTTTCGTCCACGTATGGGGTGCTAGAGGCCACCTACCACTTGCTTCCGCTTGAACCTCTTTCCTTGAGTTCTACTGAGGGCCAATATTCGAATTCCTGTCATAAAGCAAATATGTACGTGGCGCAACTCCCTTTCGAAATATCTAATTGGCTGGGGAATCGATCAACTTCCCTACTGATGCGGCCATTACCAAACAACTTTACCCTCTTTATTTTCAATTATGTATGTGAAGTTGGCTCTGATTAGCTAATGTCCGAACGGTTCATATTCATTCCGTTCTGTTTCCGGCCACTCTAACGCAATGATAGCAAAAACCATAAACCCACGGGATAATTACATCCCATATAATATGCTGACGATGAAATTTAATTATTGGCACAATAGCCAGCGTCATACGGCAAGGAACTGCAGGTGTTCAGTTAAGCCTAGGTTGAGCCTAAGGTGACGCAATAAAATTGATGGTGCAGGTTGCCAGTTGTAGCAAATCTTGAAGTCTATGTCGACTACAAAACGCTCATCGCAATTAAGATCGCCTACATTCTCACCTACCAGGAAGAAAACAGGCAGCAACCATGTCATGAAATCTTAGAAGTCTGCTCAGCCTTTGCCTGGCTAGCGATAGGACGGTGGCCATGGGGACGTCATATCCCGCTCCCGTTCGGAGCAGCTATCAACCCACTCAATATGGGCTTACCTTCACTTAGAAAATTTTTTTGCGTGGTTCACAACTGAAGAGAAAATTCCTTCGAAAAAGTAGCCCTCCTACTGGGCTATAATCACTTAGCTCCATTGTTCTGATGTATTGGCTTTTGTTCGGACATACCGGGAATTCCGCAATGCAGTCGACTTTCGTCTGGACATTTGGACATATCAAAGATTTTCTAACTATGAGCCAGAGGGTCAATGCACCCATGAAATATCATACACCCCGCCTGCTCACAGGTCACGCCCTCTGACACACACTTTTGGACGATTGAAAAGCCAAACGCGTCTGTCAAGGACAATCCAAGAATGACTTCAATGGGAGATGACCAAAACAGCCGATTTCGGGGGAATTCCAAGAAAAGGCGACATTGAAAGCACCAGACCCCTGAGGAAGGAGAAACCCATAGGCATTAATCGACCGAACTTATCCCATTTCCAGCTCACTCAATGGGAAAGAGGGTAGACTCATGAGGCTATGGCTATATTGGGCCCCCTTACTGTGTAAGCGCAATGCTTTGAAGGAAAATTTCGGTTGTGGAAAATGTAGCAACTGTTTTTAACTTAAAGGCACCGTTTACGATAAATTTAGGGTACCCTTTTTTGACGGGAATTCATAGAACTACTCTAGAATAGAGCGATAACAACGAAAAAAGCGCAAAAAACTATGAACAAAAAGAAATAGAAAAGGTCAAAAAAGAGCTGGAAAGAGGGGTTGGACGAGTTTCACATTGAAAGAATGGCGGTTAAGGGAGTGTTCGGGCGAGTGCAGGAAGGTGACGCAATGTCTGCAATAGCAGACAACACACCCAAGCAGACAACTTCGCTCCAATGCGAAAGTGATGAACGGCAATTAGATTTCAGAGTCAGCCTAGCGAGGGGCGGAGGCCTCCCGTCCCCCAATGTTCCTGCCCTTATTGTGCCCTATCCAGACCGTTTTCCGACCTCATTCCTGCACAAGGTATCAGAGGGGCGTCGAATTCAAACCATGTGCAGATCTCCGAAACCATTTTTTCGTGAACAGTGCCTTTAATGGTTACTTAAAATAGAAAGACCTCCCAATCTTACAATTAGCATGAGCTCTAAATTATGAGCGTATTGGCTTCATCCTTGGCAAGATTACAAAACTTATGCGACCTAATGTTCCGTTCTCTTCGTCTTCTTCACCACCTGAAAGTCAGAAACCAATTCAGATGGACCCTCACAAAGGCCATCTAATACTCAAATTAGTCCTCTGGACCAGCAGAATCCTTGAACACGACCGATCAAAACAAGAAAGTTTTACCACAACTCTATTTCGGTATGCGCCCTACCATACAATCTCCATTCGGAATCGCCGGGCCTTTTTTGAATGCGTATTTTATCTATACAACGACCTGTTTTGTCCAGCACTATATTAATAACAGTTAAGCGGCCCCGAATGGATAAAAACTTGGTTGGCCCAAGCGGGTGTTGAGGATCCGATCCCTGGACCATGCTTATGTGATATGCCCCATTTTCTACGACAACGTCTCCGCCCAAATTCCATCGTTTCCATATTAGTAATACATAACGGTCACACAATATCAAATACCAAAATTAGAAATAATAACCGCTGATTGCTGTCGTAAGACTCTGATCGTGTAGGCATTTTAGCTGTTCTCATGACCATTCAGGTGGTTCTAATATGCTACGGGTGCACTTTGAACAGCCAATCAATCTTATTTTACAATTCCCTATATGAATTAAAGTCGTAATTCAATTACCTAGACAATAGTCTTATAATTGTAAAAATATCGGAACAACTGAAAATAGCCTTTATGAATGTTTTCACTTCTATGTTTAATGGCATTGGCAAGAATCGGATCAATTCGAGAAGGAAGAGGACATTTTTCTATCAATTAATACTATTATAGAGTGTTCGATGTTGGTGGTCAACGATCGGAAAGACGAAAATGGATTCATTGCTTTGATAATGTGGAGTCAATCATATTTATTACGGCTATCAGCGAATATGACCAAGTATTGTTCGAAGATGAAACGACTGTAAGTGAAGCCATGCATGATTTATGATCCTTCCAAATTTAACTCATTTTGGCTCCCTTCTTGGAGAAGGAGGGGGGAGGGGGGGAGGGGAAGGGGGAAGATTTTTGAGGATTTCTATATCGAAAGCTCCACAAGCCAATTGAATCCTGTTCCATTCGGTCCAGCATCGTTTCGCCATTTGTAAGAAGCTCTCAGTATGAACTGACAAGTTTTTGCATCCATTTCACTTAGGCACCCCGCCCCCATCCACAGACCCTGCCCCTCTAACATGCGCTTCACGGTCGGTTACGGAGTTCGACAGTAAGAATTGCGGTACAAAAGTCCACGAATGAGAAGTAATTCATCTCGGCTCAGAACATACTATTACTTATCCGCAATACTTTAAATCTAGACTGAATTCTTGAATTTTTTTTTGTCTTCTAATGGTTTTTATTTTATTTTATTTCATTTCAGAATCGTATGATAGAATCTATGCAATTGTTCAACTCAATTTGCAACAGTACCTGGTTCCTTGCAACAGCTATGATCCTTTTCTTGAACAAAAAAGATCTATTTATGGAAAAAATCAAAAGAGTCAACATCACCACTGCATTTCCTGATTATGAAGGTGGGTAAAAACTTTGTCATGTCATTCCTAAAAAGCTCATCTTAGAGATTGGCTCTTATCTCAAGAAATTTATGAGACTATATAATCGCTGGCAAGTAAACTTCTCGTAGAGGTATTCTCTTTTGCATCTGGCCTAGTCCATCAACAAACCACAACCTAAATCTCTCAAACTGTCATTATTGTTTACAGTGACAGGTAGTCATTTGTTGAAACATCGCTGAAAGCTTGAAATTCGAGGCATTTTGAGAGGGAGTCTAGTAGCCTTGCAATGTTTTGAGTTAGAATTTTGTACTTCGAGTTTTGGTAATCGCAACAACACAAAACCCAAACCTCAAAGGTCCGGTTACTACAGGAGACGTATATTAGATTCTCTGCAATGAGTCATTTCGCTGTACGTCACCTTGAGTTCAAAATTCAGAGTAATTGTAGTCAAGGGAATCAGATGTAATTCTGAAATTGTATATCACTTATATACGTAAGCTCTATGAGCAGCTGAACTCGACAGGAAAGGCCCTTTAATTGGGAACTTCCGATTTCGTGCGCCATTCCAGACAGAGGAAGTACTTGACACAGACACGTGAACTCCATGCTACAATACTTCCTTATGAAAACTTTGGAAAACATGACTCTTTCATAGTTATCCGCTTTCATCGTCAGTCATGTAGCCTTTCACGAAAAGCCATTTCTCGTATCCCTCTCGAGCATCAAAAAGCTCACCTCATTGGTATTCCCTTTGCATTTGCCTTGACTTTCATTCCAACTGAACACGGTTGGTGATTATGGGTCTAGAGCCTGGGAGAATCGTCTCAGGAGCGGTATTCACTGAAGGTTAACGTAATTGTTCCCAGTGAAGATATGCCGAGCTTGTTTCCCATTGACCGGTCAGAGATGTAGGACCTTCCCTGAAGGGAAAAATTGAGTTGGTATGTAGGCAGCTTCCATAGAGTTCTCTTGACTTGAGCTGCATGAGGATCTAAGGGATGTCGCAAGTGATGTCACCAGCTGAACACGTACGTCCAATGAAGTGGGCGCTCGGAAACAGATGATCAGAAAATCACCATTATATCTACAAGTAGTGAATTTCATATCTGCGCCTTTCGCCAGCCTTTTGGCGAAGCGTCAAGTTTACTCAGCCATACTGGCGTCCCGATATAGAAGTCCCTCATCCCCTCTCTTATCCACACCTTTGGCGTGTGTTCCGCTTGCCGCTATCGGAAATTTTGTCACTCTAATACTTTACCACCACAAAGAAACAAATTACATTTAGGAATTCGTTCTCAAGGATAAACTAGTTACTGGGATGGTGAATGGACAGTAGTAAGAGCACATAGGGTAACTAAGCTAGGGAAGGCTTTTTCAGCACAACATAATTCAGAAAAGTGATTATGAAATAACGAAGTCGAGTGGTTCTTGGAAAAACTAGTAAGAACTCAGAAAGCAAGCAATCTTTGACATCTTACTGTATAACACGATTATTTCAACAATCGTCCATTGGTATAAGTCAGATTTCCTACTCCAACCATATACTGCTTCATAGAAAACCTTAAGTTCCAATCGGAACGCAGTTGAGCAGATATAGGAAGCGTGTTTGTGGGTGGCACAATCAGCGGGCTAGAAGTCCCGTAGGCCACATACCAGTCCGTTCAGCCACCGTAACTAAGCAGTTCTCAGTGTTTTGGTCGATGAAGAAGTAGCGATTTTTACAAAGATGAATGATTATTCCGTCATTACTATCAAGCCTAAGAATAAAATTCCTATTCTGAACAAATCCAATTCTGGGATGCGCCGTGCATTCGTTCTCCGTTAAGAATCGCAGTGGCGTTTTGAAAGATTGTTGGCTCTATAGATTACCTTGCAATATCCACGCAATATCCAGGTTACTGTTTTAACATCTCAAAAGAGTCTACCACGAATAAGTAGACCCCGGAGAAATGAAAGCCCGTTGGCCTGGCCGCTGTACCATCCGCCATTCGATCCTGGGACAATATGCGTGATGGTCTCTACCTCACTACACCACCTCCACCCAATTATTTACTAACTTACAACAAGTAAATAAATAGGCAATCTTCACGCAATGCGCATTCTATTGTATAACCGAGTGCCTTTACGAACGGCAATCAAAGGTAGTGAGTGCCGCCTGGTGACGCCCGTACTCTCTGCTATGGATCATGGTCAAAATCACGACATTCAGCAGGCCTTACTTAGTCTATCCTTGACATACGGTCCCATACTGTTTCCCACTCAGAACTAACGGAAATCCTCAGTTGACAAAAACTCATGCTTCATTCATTTCAGGTGGCCAAAATTATGATGAAGCCGTGGCATTTATCAAACTGAAATTCGCCGAGCTCAATTTAAATCCGGATAAAAAGACTATTTATATGCACGAGACATGTGCAACTGACACAAACCAAGTAAGAAAACTGCTTGAACCCAAATGACGTCTAAAAAAATCACCAACGACATGATTTCAGGTACAACTCGTCATATCGAGTGTGATCGATACTATCATTCAGAAGAATCTTCAAAAGGCCGGTATGATGTGAGTGTTTCGTCAGTCTGACAACGATACGCTCAAAATCCCGTATATTTTGTGTACGAATGTCTTTGTTTTTGCTCCTACAGATTGTCTTTAATCTATCAATAAATATTTTGTACATAATGGATCTATTTACACAAGAGCACTATCGAGTATAACAAAATTCATTTGATTGAAAAAAAAAACAACTCACTGAATCAACAAACATGATCAACTCAACAAAAACAAAACAATGAGGGGAATCGCTCCAAAAAGCAGGGAAAAGAGTACATATACAGAGGAAGATGGCGATGAAATTACAATAGCTCATTTGGTCGGCGATTCCCAACGTATTACTTATCAAGAGCCTTCATGCTGAAGATATGTCATGAAAGATTTTCAATAACTTTATAAAATCCAGACGATCGATATATTTTCATCAAATTATTGATTTTCTTCGGTGTGTATTGAAAAAGGTTTTTCGGATCTCGAGCCATTGCCTGAATAAGGGAGAATGCACTTATTGCTTTTTTTCGATAGCCAACTAATGCTTCGTATTTCACACATAAGATAACGCTCATTGGTCACATATACAACGAAATTCATTTAAATTACCCATCCCGAATACGATGATGCATCAACAAAAGCAATAATGTAAAAGGGGATCAGCACACTAAGCTAAGGGGCATAACGATTCGTTATACCGTCAGACGAGACGTCTCGCGACAATAGTCATATCGAACAAATCAAGAAAAATGAAGGTAAATTAAATGGAGCACTGGAAAGACACAAGTAAGCACAAAAAGGTGATAGAATGATCCCATTTAAAAAAAAAGGTATAAAGTATTCAGAGGAAAAAACCACAGTCCGCACCTCCTCCGGAGCGCATGAACACACCTCAAGTCACTGGTTTATACCTACCAGAATGGTAGGAGCCGAGTAAAGTAACTTTTGCCTTTCGGGAAATTCATAGTATGTTGTTTTTAGGTGAAAAAAAAAGAAAAAAAAGATTTTGGCAGTAACAAAACTTGATTAACTTGAATGGAAACTTCTCAAAGAATAGGACAACAAAGTCAAAACAACTACTGGAAATGAAATCGATGNAGGACCAAACCATTTAAAGATAAAAAAGAGTTCCCACACCTCCCACACCAGTCTCCTATATCTTAGAAATGTATGATATGAAAAAGCCTACNAAAAAAAAGATTTTGGCAGTAACAAAACTTGATTAACTTGAATGGAAACTTCTCAAAGAATAGGACAACAAAGTCAAAACAACTACTGGAAATGAAATCGATGGTAAGAAAAATGACCAAAGTGTGCCACAGCAACATCTAACTAACTGATGCTTTCAAGATAGAGATGAAATAAAACGAAATATTGATTTTGAACTGTCAAAAAGTGTCCAATACAAAGGCTATGGTAAAGCGCACAAAATGTAAGTGTGGCTATACACTGCTAGAGCTTGTTGGTGAGCGTGGCTAGCGTGATCTATCTAATACCCATATTATTTTTACAACTCTACAGTTTTGATTCCCTACTTTTACTCTGCACAACAGCCCTTCATAAAACAGAGAGGTACTCAAAAGTAGAGCTCATAGCACCTTAACACATACACCTCACCAATAGGAAGCCTCCCTAACGCACAACAACGAGTCGCGTATAAATGATTGAGCGGCATGCGATGTATTAGCCCAATAAGAGGAGTCGGAGGAAATTACGAGCCATTCTTTAGCCGGGCTAAGTTTGAGAAATTACACTAACTACTCACAAGTCGATCGAAAGCTGTGGAAGCATAAGTAAGACAACGACAACCTGTGGTTTTTCAATGCAAAAGACCAAATCGCGAATCTCCCGAGCAATCCAGATTCCCAAAGCCAACTGTTCTAGATATCTCCATGTCCTACAGGGATGACTTCGAATGAACCTACCTTGTAATCATCTCCGTATCTTTCAGAAAGATAGATTAACAATTCAACGTCCCTATCCGGTAATCGCACAGTTCTAACTGAAGACTCTCGCATAGCCTTTTGCTCATTGGCTTCAGCCTCCAATGCCGACACCACTTTTCGTGCCTATAATAGTCCTTCAGCTGAACATGAAGTAAAACCTTAAGTTACTGTGGTTGTATGGTGCGCCGTATCGTTGTTTTAGTAATAGAAATGGAAGAATAAAACTCGACGAACCTTTTCTTTTGTCAGAATAGCATTTTTCTCCTGTTGTTTTTTGAGGCGCTGTTCTGCCACAGTTCCAAGCGCTCGTGCTTCCGCCAAGTCCATTTCCTCGACGGCTACCATATCAATAATATCTCGCTTGAATGCATTTTTTTTAAGACTGGCAACATCAAAGAGAAGCTAAAAACTCACATGAGGCTGTACTACTGGTACTGCTTCATTAGGATTGAATGCTAAGCCCATGGAAAGTGCGTTCTCACGGGGAGTTTTCGAAGATTCCCAATTTTCTTTGATGACCTTCCTGAACATACTTTGTTAACCTGACATTTCTACTACATAATACATAAAAAATATAGATTCTAATAAATCAGAACAAAAAGGATACGGGATTTTGGACTAGCTATAGTAACCGAAAATATTTCTAGACCCTAAGGATACGATTGGATTGTCACACTGTTTATAAAAAGTGCAACTGAACTATAGATAAAACTCACACGCTGCTTCGACATTTCTTCCTGTTCTTTTCCAATATCTTACGCTTTTTAGCAACATGCTTGATATTCGGTCGAAATTTCTTCCCTTTCTTCTTCACCATAACGATTTATCTCTAAAAATAAACTGAAAGAAGCAACTGGTCAGCAATGCGACCGACAAAAATGTACACTAAACAAGGTCTTAGCATACAAATTCAACAGCATTTTAGGACCAAACCATTTAAAGATAAAAAAGAGTTCCCACATCCTATCTCTTAGAAATGTATGATATGAAAAAGCCTACTGCAATGACATGGCAACCTCATCTATGAGCTAACACCTTTGCAGGTGCCTGACCAAACCTCTCAATTCACCAGTCATTGAGAAAACTCAGAAACGCTTAACTAGTACTCAATGATAACCAAGGTAATAAACCAACAAATCCAGTTAGGCAGTTGTTTCCAAATGAATTTATTAATGCTTCTGCAACACTAAAGCTTTCCAATATGATTATGCTTTGGTTTCCATAAAATTGAAAAACACCTATAAACAAATATAAGCAACATACAGGTTTGGTTGTATAAAAACATGACTACAATTGTTTTCTATGCGTAGATCATTCACGATGATAAGCAGTGCACATAAATGAAGCAAGCAATTACAGTTACAGCAACAGAACACAAACTGACAAGCTATTTCCAACGGAAGACAATAAATGCAGAGATTATAAATTCAGATTATTCTGACAGAGTTACGGTACGTACGGGTATTGTATAATGATATTCGCGTATATATTGTTTTAATTTTGGTGGAAGACGTAAACTGGCCACACCGGTGTAGGTAGTGCGACTCACAATGACACCTCGACATAGTTCCTGAATATTATAATACTTGAATTAGCAAAAGTTTTAGAGAATCAGGCGACTCGTTGGCAAACTTTTCAGGGGCAAAGCTATATCTATGTACCCACCTGAAGCGAGAACACGCGGCCGCGATGAAGCGGGTGGGTGAGTTGGGGCTCAAAGAAGAGGCACCTAGAGCAGAAATATCGAAGAAAATAAAAATTATACCACTAAAACGTCCTTACCTAGCTGGATCTTTGTATTTCTCGATCAGTTTGGTTATAGTCGGCGCAGAGAATACGCTCTGATCATGAATATCGAAACTGAAGCGGTGGTTTCCCTAAACCATCAATAAGGCATTCTTAAGTTCAAAATGCTTCCAGAGGATTCCAAGAAGAAATAGGTAGGTGTTGATAGCGAAAAATCGAAGATTTACGGAACTGTGACGAAAAAAGTAACAATACCTATCAGGCCGACCCCACCCCGACAAGTTTTCAAAAATTTACTTCTTCTCTATTCGTATCTTTACATTTTGAAGCATTTTTCGATCCCACGAGATATATCCAACCAACAATAATGTTAATCGCATGACTCATTGAAAATATTGGGCACGCAGAAGTATTTTTGTTTATTTATCTTGCTTAATGAATTCACCTGCTCAATTCTCGCATGCAAAGTACGTTGATAACGACGAAAAGAGACCGAAAACAGGTATTCCGTCTGGGCACTATCACGAAGGAGGAAGGTCCCTTCAATGGAAAGATGTAGAAATTCGTCGAAATTCATTAAAACTTAAAACGTCACAAGAGAACAAACCCTCAGGCTTTCCTTCCAATAACTGCTCCGCTTGGAAACGATCCATTACACCCCAGTAATAGCTAGAGTTAAGAATTTTGTCGATATCTGGGACAAGATGATGAGAATATTCCACGATACGATGAATAGTAGGGCTTTGTTCATCGTTCAGTACTGAAAGCGTAATCTTTACACAACCACTTAGAAAAATTAATGTTTTTTCTGCCAAGCGCTTTGTGATCGAGACATACCCAAAGCAGCCGTCTCTTTCCCACCACTTCCTAACCCCTCATAAAAAAAGCAAAAATAAAAATAACATCTATAACATGGAACGAACATGATCGGCGTGTTATTGCTGGCCCTGCCAACTGATTAGCTGCTTCGCCTACTATTGCGAGCCGTTGTCGGACCATTTCGGCAACAGAGCTGCTCCAGCTTCTCCCAACATTCTGCGCCTCAGTGTCATCATCAGTGTCAGAATCACTCACTGTTGGAGAAAAGCATGGACAAAATGGGGTGGCCCGAGACCTGGAACTGAGGCAAATAACGAAAAGGACATTATATAAACTAAAGAAGGTGAGCAACGTTTCGAAGAACGAACATTTGAACACTTCAGAACACCCCCAACTGCACGGTGCCGCGGAATAATTGTATACTCTTGTTAACTGCTAGAGTTACTTTAGTACAACTTTCACCTTTTGGTCGAAACCACTCTTTCATAATCCTTTCAAATGGCTGTTTGCCTTTTTGTGCTTGTGTCAGGAAGTTGTAATATCAGAAGAATTTTGGAAGCTTGGAAGGGTGGGTCGTGGGTCGAGATACATGGTACACACGTGAGCTCAGCGAGGTATATGCTATGACTATGGTGGTATTTTGACATATTTCTTCTTGATAACATACCCCAACTAGTCAGCAAAGCAGAACGGGGCATCTATTCAGACTCAAAAAACCGAGAGATAGGCATGGACATGAACCAAGTGTTCATTCAGTTCGTCTATATCAACGAGGATTCATACTCCAGTGCATTAGATATACCGAACTTTGATGAAACTAACCCGACAAAGTTTATCAAAAAATATGTATTTGGGAAGGTTTCGCGTTTCCTACCTCACTATATATGACAACCAGAGCGACTTGGGTGTAGGTAATAAGAGCCAAAAAACTCAATTTAAAATAAAACCAACAAAAAAAATAAAAATTAGTGGAAACTACTATATACTATATACATATTACAGACTCAATAAATTAAAAAGATTACATCCCATAGTGCTGTAACGCTTATCTAGTTGAAAATGGTATCACCAAAACATCAGCTACAAACACCTCTACCTACTACATCGGAGGATACTTGTTCAACCCGATCAATACCTCGCGGAAAATGGGATGAAATGATTTACCTGTTCCTACTGCGATTAGACGGCCCAGCCACAGCACGCTCACGATGAACGTTTGCGTCCATGTTCAACACTGAAAAAAAGGTTTAAAACCTCAGCAACAGACAAGATAGAGGTAAAACTGGTTAAAAAGGAAGTGAACATTTCTGAGGTAGGTGTTGTCACGTGATCATTGGTCACACACAGTGATATCATAGGTGTTTTCGTTTCTGTTTTAGAACTGGGACTATAGGTTATCATGAGGTAAGAAGAGAGCATTAAATTCGGAAACACATGTTAAAATGGAACGTATAATTCAGCATCATGTAAAGTAGGCAACTAAACAAAAGGTAAACAAAGGTTTAACAGACTTGCGACAAAAGTCTGACTGGGCATTAGAGAGGAGTAATTAAGCGCCAACGCTTGGAGTTGATCATATTCCCGTTCAAAGAGAAAAGATTAGCAAAATGGAGATTACGATGGACCAGAGGATCAAACTGACGACAATATGACGCATACTGTAGCATGTATCGATGTGTGCACAGTCTGGTGTGTTCCCTTTTCGTTTCTGACCTTTACTGATGAGTCATCTAACATACAAAAAAAATTAGCAGAAATACCCGAAAAGACGATCGTAGATACACAAAATTGACGCGTCGAAGTGGATCGTTTGCTTTACCCTTCCTAAGATCTCAGATTTGGTTGGCTACAGTGGAGTATTTCTAGGCCCCTAACCTCATAGCAAGAAGATAAGGAGCTAGTCAACAGATGTCAGCATTCACTGTTTGCAATGGGCTGTTTAAACGTCATGTTTCATTGTATGTTAAGCAACTACAAAATGTCCTATCGCGATTTTTTATTGCCCTGAACACAGTCAGTCTAAAATATGTATGTGGTGCACTTTCTATTGTATTGCGAAATTTCTTCGACTGACAAAAAAAAGTTTTCTGGCTAAACATCTGCGCTTCCAATGCAAAAAAAAGGGACAACAGTTACAAATAAAAACAAAGAAAACTTAAGAACTTTAGGAAACGAGTTCCGCAAGATACCTTCTATACGAAGTCTTTTAGCCTGAGACCAACTGTTTCTTTACTAGAGGGCCAGATAAACACTTCAATGTTAGAGCAGCGCGGTAACCCAATTCAGAAATCAAACCAACACTAAACTTACGATTAAACGAGAATTCAGAAACTCTTAGGAGAGCACTACTCAATAAAAAACCTTACGGGCTGCATAGGCCCGCACAAAACATCATTTGACCAAAAATTCAGAAATTCAATAATCCGCGATCGAAACTAGTAGTTATCAAATGCTATTCAAACAAATGAGCTGATAAAGACTGGAGTAGAAGAAACGGAAGCGGACGACTACAGATAGCATTGATCGGAACCATACGTTATACACTATATAGATGCAGCATAAAACACTGTGGACAGACTGGCGGTGCAATGAGCTATAAGCGACGTAGTTAATATCTCCTATAAAGAAATCACTCATTCAAAACACATCAATCCCATTAATTCCGAGTGTTTGAATGGAATCAGCCCTTTTCACTCGATGCTACTACAAGATAGCGATGTTCAGAACAAAAGTCTGTTTTCATAGGTTATCATCGCACTCTGGGTACCATAAATTAGTTCGATGCAAATGATTTTTGATGACAAATGACATCAAAGTACTGCTGTATCCTTTTTAGAGACTCGCTGTCGCAGAACTACATCAACGCAATTGAGTATGTGAAAATGCTATGAAAGGAGTGACAAGGAAGATCCCAACCAAGAAAAACACGAAGTCTTATGAACTTAACAAAATGAGAAAATCCAGATGACTTCTTAAAGCAAAAGACTGAAGCGAAAACTCTAAGTGAAAGACGAAGTGACTAGACATATTAGAATGAATGTTACTCTCATTACAGAAATTGTCGAACTTACTATGACGACTAAGCTATTGCCTCAAAACTACGGAGCAAGTCGGTATTCAAAACAGATTCAACAAGCCGAAACTACCTATGTGAAAATCAATATAAATCGTTCTGATTAACATACCTCGATCTTGGGTCGTTTCCACAAGCTCTGGCAATACTGGTGAGGCAGCCTGTCCTTCCGTCACAACTCCATCTGGCGAAACAAATGGCTGCGATGAACTTGAACCATTAGCGGATCTAAACGTGCGTTGGGAATTGCTCAACATATGCAGGACCTAACAAGCATCACAGAAGGTCAATGAAGAACTTGAAAACTATTCATTCATCTGTGTACCTAACTACTCATTGAGATGGTTGACTAATGACAAGTTAGGGAAGGCTATAGGGGCGAATGAAAAAATTATAACCAATCTGCCTTCCTGTCTTGATCTTCCTCGCTTGAGTGCAATAGCTGGATAAATCACTCATCACAAGACTCACCCTGTAGCAAGGTTTGCAGGGGGATACATAGTGAAATGAGCCAAACGATGGTGCAAAGATGAGAGAAACGATGTCAACGCTGCTTCTAAAAACGATTAATATAACATAGTGACAGGACAAAGGGAAAAGTCAAACGACCACTGGTCAAGATACAAGAAGTTCAGAAAGAGTACGGTAATTTCTGCGACCTAGNGCCTTGGGAAGCAATTCTAAAGTCGATACTTCAGTTAGTAAAACTCACTCTCTCGCGAAGTTGAATTCGGTCCGTTAGTGCTGTGTAGATCATGTTGCCGACGACCAGGAGAATGAGTGATAGGGATATGAAAATCACTATTCCAGCCGCCGTTCGAATTACTATTGCGCCGTAATCGGGACCCTTCTGAAGTGAAACGATCAAATGATCAACATAGAAACCCTAGGTGGACGATAGTAGGTAAAATGAACCTCCAGCATTTGACGATTCCGCAATCGGCACCTCGGTTTGTAGGGGAATTCTCGACCTAGTGCCGAAAAGACTAGATGGTGGATTACTCGTACCAATGTCTGTGGCTGCTTCGGAATCACTTTCGTTATTTAGCATACCACCATTTCGCTCAATGAAGACCAGCTGTTGACAAAGGCACCTGAAAGTGGCTTGAGTGTGATCATATAGTAATGAAGAAGTAGCAGAACTGAATGCAGAGAAGGGACAGAAGGACGAATGAAAAGTAGTAAGCAATAAACATAAACATAGACAACAAAGAAACACAACCCTAAACAGAGCTAAACATTCACTACAACATCGCCCTGATATTGGCAGCGGTTGTATCGACGGTCATCGATCAGACACTAACCGCTTCGAGGTGCGCGCGCATTGAACGAAAATGACTTTGGAGCACGTTAACCCAACCCAGTAGGGAAGAGCAGCTGTCCTTCATCTGTTGCAGCCACCACTGTACACGCCAATCTGCTCATATTTCCTCCCTCTCTTAAGACGATCAAATCGGCTTTGGTATGCACCAATGCACTGGACTTAAGGCATACTAGCGTTTGACCTAGCATTCAACAAATAAAAGGTTTCAAGAATTAGTTGCGCTACACATGGATTACTCTGCGGAAGTAATGACTATTATAAAGATGTTTGACAGCAACACACGTTTCTGCAAGCCTCCCAGACGTGAATATTGACACCTCGCCTTATCAGGGAGTAATAAGGACGCCTCCCGCCTCACTTGGTGATGAGCATTGCTGTTAGACCCCTGTGCTCTTCAAATCTATGCTGCAAAAGCTATCTCTTCTGCCGTGGAAATTCAATCCCCATTGCGGAACACATGCTTCGCGAGAAACACTCATCTTATCAAGATGACGAACCAGATCACATCAATGCCACACAGGATGTGTAGGTGGTTCAGTGGATTTTTATGACTTCGGTGACGAAGCAAAGAGTTCAACAAACAGCATGTAAGTGCGGACATTACCGCAGTAAAACCCCCGGAGAAGTGCGGGCCCACTTATCATAGGTCCACTTGACCCACACCATTTATGGCCCTGATTTAAGTTAGGGCGTCGTCTCAGACGGTGAGGTAATGGAAGGGGTCCTGCCTAGACGATGACACAAGATGTTGGTCTGCATAAAATTTGGAACGGAGACGAGTAACTACTCGTACTATGTCTTCTGTGTAAAGCAAACAGTAGCAGCACGACCTCCTTCTGATTAGGAATAACGAAGTAATTACTTGGCGTTATTTCCGCAATCTCACAATTTCTGCAAGACACA